AATGTCGACCCTTTAGATTGGGCCGATATTGTCCATTGTCGCACCTGATCGAGAACTGATAAAAATATTAGGATTTGCAAAGTTGAAGGAAAATTTAGATGATCCTTTCTCTTTATAAGAAGCAAAATATTTTCTTTCAAAATTTCACCGGGCTTTCCGAACTCGATCTATGTTTGATAATATTATTACGATGTACCAAGTTTAAAGCAAATCGTATACTATTTTCAAGAGTTATCGTGTGCGCCAGCCAGAAAAACAGAAGGAAGGACTTCCTTAGATCGAGAGATCTAGGGTGAAAACCCGTTATTTCAATGAGTCAAGTTTTGGCTGTATCAAATGATGTGTACCCTCTGTAGGCATATGGCTGAGGATATAATAAGAGTGCATAATCAACATTAGCAGTCTTAAAACAATAATATTTTCCTTGACTCCATTTCTTTTAGATGAGCCATTTGACTAAAGTGGTTTCCGGATTCTGAGAAGTTTCTGCAATCTCTGTATTCTCTGGACGAAGAATAACTTAGAAAACCACAAAAGCGGGAGAAGCGAAAAAATTCTTCACTGGTGTTTAAAAACGCTTGGATAAGCTTCTGAAAACAGAACTGTTAAATTCATCCTTGTGTCTTTTGTTTTTTCTTTCTAATTTTTATTTTTATACCCTCCACCTTGGAATAGAGGGTATATTAACTTTGTCATTCCGTGTGTAACATCCTTAAATATTCGTCGCAGACCCCATAAAGTATATATATCCATAATCAGCATAAAATTCTAAGTCGATTTAACGATGTCCGTCTCTCTGTCCGTCTCTCTGTCCGTCTTACATTTATCAATTTGAGTTAATATTATTTATAATATACTATTTATGCCTAGCGAACTTTAAAAAGATTCAAAATAATAATTGACTGGTGCTTTTTAAATGTTCATCAAAGTGCTTCTTCCCAAGTCTTTTTTTTGGCAAAAAAACGTATTTTGTGTCTTATTATTTTTTATCAAACCACAGATATTTGAGGGAATTAGAAACATTTATTCATTGGTAAAAATAAAGCTTTTATGGACATATTTCATCCCTTTGTTTAATTTATCCCTAAACTTGCCATAGAATTTGTGCTTAGTTTGTAATTGTTTTAAATTTTCATAATTTAGAACTACTCATGAGTCAATTACAGAAATGGTTGCAAATCCACCATGCGAACATTAATGGAAATATCCAAATAAATAATATGTCCCTTGACTAAGCCATGCACATCATAACGCTTCTGTCTTAAGTCTTTTGTTTTTTTTTTTTTTTTTCAATTTTGTTGCAATTTTTATGTGTTATATGAGTGAATTTTAGGAAACTAAGCGAATTTTACAAGGTTTCAAAATAATAATTTCCTAAATCCTTTTCAGTGTCCGCCATAGAGCTTCATTGTTTGCTTTGCATTTTCGTGCCTAATTATTATTTACCAAATCATACATTTTTTATAAAAAATAATTGAAGTTTCTGAGAGAATTTGTTCTTGTGTCTTAAGTCTTTTGTTTTGTTACAAGTTTTGGTTGTTTTAAATTTTCATAAATTAGAATTATTCATGTGTCAATTACAAAAATGGGTTTAGAAACTAAAACCACATTATAAACGTTAAAAATGTTCAAAGAGTGATATTACCATTGGTTTAGTCATGCCCATCATTGCGCTTGTGTCTTAAGTCTTTTGTTTTGCCTAAGCAATTTTTGTATCTAATTATTATTTTTACTGAACCATCATTATAATTGCACACAAAACACATAACATGAACGTTATTAAGAATTCATTTAAGCCTTTATGAATACATTACAGCGTCTATGCCAAATTTGGTTTTCCAACTTGAACAAACACCCCCATCGAGCTTATAATTGGAAGGCATATGCCAGCAGTTGTTGCAATAAAAGTAAAGTGGGTACTAATTTATACAAATTCATATTTATAAAACAAAAATTACAGAATGTCAGCACAAGAGCTTATGATTTGAATTTTCACAAGCCTAGGTGATGAAAATACAAAAAAAAAAAAAAAAAAAAAAAAACATGAAACACCCACATAAAGTAGATTTCTATTTCAAACAATAAGACTTCACACTACACCGGCAACATGTGTTCTTCTTGTGGCGGTAGCAAGCAAAAAACCAGAACACCTGTTACTCAAACTGCCAGCACTGTTTTTTTTAGTAATGTACGCATCATACGTTATGCGTTTTTTTTTTTTTTTTTTTTTTTTTTTTTTTTGAGGAAAATTATTAATGAAAAATGCCTTCTAAAAATATCTTTTGAGCTGCCGTAACTGAACCAGTTTTACAAAAAAAAAAAAAAAAAACCTGTGAAGTTTGTCAAATTCAATTGCGTTTGTTTTGTTTTCCTCCATTGTGTAAAACATTAGTACAGCTAACCTTGATATTAATGCATTAAGTGTGGAAACGAAAAAAATAAACAAAAAACAATTTGCAAACTAACACAATGGCAACCATCATATGTTATAAATATTTAAAAATTATGACAAATGCTCTCCGCCACAAAATTGTTTAATGTGGCATGAAGTGCCAAAGAAAGAGACTGAAAAAATATTGAGGTTGGAATTTTTGGTAAAATACAAATTAAATTTAGAGAACTAATAATGTGTACATCAGTGGGAGGTTAATCGAATTCAGCAGCTGATGAGGTATTGAGGTTGTATGGAGAAAAATAAAAAATAAATAAATAAAACTTAAACAAAATGGCTAAAGGTGCAATTACTCCATGGACAATGGGGTCTGACAGAAAATCATCGTCCCTAAAATCACTTGCCTAAATGTGGCATCTATCCATGGGAAGACTATGGTTTCAAAAAACTTTGTAATGATAAAGTATTACCGAAGATTCTGGAAGAGGGTTGTTCAAACTGTGCTTATGTGGCCTTCCCTGTGCCTTCCTAAGTCATTTTGAATCTCTGAAAATAAACCAAGAAAGAATTAGCCCAAAATATAAAATCTCGATATATAAGACAAAAATATTCCTAAGTTAATTTTAATTAATGCTATTATGCTGATTCTACAGGGTGAGATAAAAAACTGCAGCAAAGTCAAACGCCATAATTTTTAATTTTTTTTAATTTTATTGAATGAAAATGATAAAATATCGGAAACAGCATCAAATTTTAGAATAAGTTCAGATTTGATCTAATTGGTCACATTTGGGCCGATTTATGGCCTATGAAACCGTCAAACGCTGCCCCAATGTTGGTCTGCGGTATTTTGGTCCATTCTCGCCGAAGCGCTTGCTTGAGGTGATCGACACTTTGGTATTTTTTAGTGCCAACCTTGCTTTTCAAAACTATAGTCCAGAAACAATAGTCCAACAGATTGGAATCCGGAGATTTTGGTGACCATTGTGCGCTGGAAATGAAGCGAGGAACCTCATTTTGTAACCATTCTTGGGTGGCGCGTGCTGAGTGCCATGGTGCTGAATCCTATTGTAATGTCCAAGGTCTGCGGCCAAAATGTTTGCCTGTCCAAGGCTTTAATATTCTGCATTTATTTCAATGACATGGTCAATTAATACGAGCGGAGAGCGACCATCGGCTGTTATGGCGGCCCACACCATCACCATGGCCGATGCTTGAGTTCTGGTGGCCAACCGAATGTGCACATTTTCGGCTGACCTCTTTGGCAAGTGAACACGATCATTCTGTTTGCTTCCAAACTGCTGGACAACGAATGTTTACTCACCGGAGAATTCCAAATTCGGCAGTTCTTCACTTTCGGCCAATCGGAGCAACTCTTTACCTCTTTTGAGTCCATTTTCTTTCTGTTGTTTCTCCTTCTTGCACTTTTTGGAATTTCAATGGCTTTACCCCGAGCTCATTTTTCAATATTTGCCGAATGGAATATTGCGATATGTTCAGCTAACGATCCATTTTTCGCCCCTGCGACGCGGGTTTCGATCAAGTCGCTTCTTTACTTTTCGAACCATTTCTGCTGATGTTGCTTTTTTTCTTTCGTCGTCGAGCCATGGTATAAGACACAAAAGATTTATTCACATTTAAATGCTGGAGTGCTCTAACGATAGCCACTTGTGGTTTTCCAGCCAAATATCAAGAAATCATACTTGAATTCCTGCACTAATAACTTTTTTTCTGGAAAATTCTCACCAAAATGCTTTTGTACGTTTGTAAGCAATATTATGAGCTGTCACTGAAATAATTTTAACAGCTGTCGGACGAGTGGCTTAAAAATGACAGCAGTCTGAAATTGGTTGAAGTTTTTTCATCCCACCCTGTATGGTTTCAAAAATCTTTGTGATGACCAAGCATTACCGAGGATTCTGGAAGAGGATTGTTTCAAAGTGTGCCTATGTGTCTGCCAACCTAAGCCATTTTGAATCTCAGAAATCTAATCCAGAAATCTTTAATATTTTTTTAAAGTATTTTTGATTTATATCCCTCCAACAATAAGCCCAAAATATACCACCCTGATATATATGACAAAAATTTTCCTAGTTTAATTTTAATTAATGCTATATTGCAGATTCTATAAGTAGTTTTAGACTAAACTGTGTAGGTTAAAGATGAACAGGCAAAAATCTTGATTTAAGGCATGAATATCACCCAAAAGAAACTTAGCACACAACTGAAAAGAACAACAACAACAAAACACACATCATACTTCACACATAATTTTGCGGTCAAGCAGTGTGTCAGGTGCATAAGTCAAATAAAATGAATATCCGGTACAAAAACAAAAAAAAAACATAAGGTATGGAGAAGAAAACATACAACGTTCGTTTTATTTCGGCCCGTGCAATGTAGTCAGCATTCAGTACTCATGCCACACTTTTTAAGCCACTGAAAAGTTCAATGTATAAATTCAACGGAAAACCACTAGAATGTTGCCATGATGCGGATGAGAGGGAAAGCAAATATAAAAACAATCACAATAATCGCTTAATTCCATTTCTTAATTGTTTTTATTTTATGTTTTAATTCAATTTTATTTTTGCTTTTCTATTTTCAGAAATTTTTCCTTCTACCCCTGCTGCTGCTGGGCATAAGCTTTTCATGTGAGGCCCAATACATTCCTAGTGGTTATTATGGCCCGGTGTCAAATTATTTGGTAGCCGATACTCAATCGAATGGATACTCATACCCTCCTCCAGATGTGCCCTTTACTCTACCCCAGAAACCGGGCTATTCTTATCCAGTGCCGAAAATTCCCTTTGAAATAACATCTAAACCAACTCCTCCTCAACCTACCAAGGGTTACTCCTACCCCACTCCAGCTGTGAAATTTGTATTGCCAACCAAATCAACAAAGAGACCAACTCAACCACCCCAACCATCTAAGGGTTACTCATACCCCACACCATCTGTGCCATTTACTCTACCCACCAAAGCTACGCAGAGATCAACCCAACCACCCCAACCTACCAAGGGTTATTCCTACCCCACACCAGATGTGCCCTTTACTTTACCCCCCAAAACCACTCTGAGACCAACCCAACCACCCCAACCTACCAAGGGTTATTCCTACCCCACACCAGATGTGCCCTTTACTTTACCCCCCAAAACCACTCAGAGACCAACTCAACCACCCCAACCATCCAAGGGTTATTCCTACCCCACACCAGATGTGCCCTTTACTTTACCCCCCAAAACCACTCAGAGACCAACCCAACCACCCCAACGTACCAAGGGTTATACCTACCCCACACCAGCTGTGACCTTTACTCTACCCACCAAAACTACGCAGAGACCAACCCAACCACCCCAACGTACCAAGGGTTATACCTACCCCACACCAGCTGTGACCTTTACTCTACCCACCAAAACTACGCAGAGACCAACCCAACCAACAAGGGTTATACCTACCCCACACCAGCTGTGACCTTTACTCTACCCACCAAAACTACGCAGAGACCAACCCAACCAAACAAGGGTTATACCTACCCCACACCATCTGTGCCCTTAACTCTACCCACCAAAACTACGCAAAGACCAACCCAACCACCCCAACGTACGAAGGGTTATTCCTACCCCACACCATCTGTGCCCTTTACTTTACCCCCCAAAACCACGCAGAAACCAACCCAACCACCCCAACCTAGCAAGGGTTATACCTACCCCACACCATCTGTGCCCTTTACTCTACCCACCAAAACTACGAAGCGACCATCTCAACCACCCCAACCAACTAAGGGTTATTCCTATCCCACACCATCTGTGCCCTTTACTCTACCCACCAAAACTACGCAGAGACCAACCCAACCACCCCAACGTACCAAGGGCTATACCTACCCCACACCAGCTGTGCCCTTTACTCTACCCACTAAAACTACGCACAGACCAACCCAACCACCCCAACCAAATAAGGGCTACACCTACCCCACACCTGCAAACAAGTTGGTATTGCCAACACAAAAACCACAAGGTTATTCATATCCCCGTCCCGCCATTCCCTTCAACTTCTAAGACCACTGCCACCAGAGCAAACCGATCAGGACCACATCAAAAATTGTGATTATATAGCCAGATAATTTGGATGCTCGAATTATAGGCTATTTTATATAATTTCATATTTAGTTTTAGGTTTGTTATTTGTTTGCCCCTCCAGCCGTTAGTGTTGTACAATTAACGGGTAACCGTTTTAGACTGTGCTCCAGCATTGACAAGATGCACATGTTCGCTCGACGTACATTAAACGAATAAAGAGAATAGTCATTAACTATAAATAAAGTAATAAATTAAACAAACTATTTCGCTATGTACTTAGTTAGAGATAAATGTTGTAAGTTTGAGTTCGATGTGTTCTTAGAATGTTAACGACGAATGACAGAATTGAATAATTTCATTGTAACGTAAGATTAGTTCCTAAGACGAAAACGAATAAATATAATTTTTTATAAATTAAATTGGTTGTTGTTTTATTTATTGGACGACAGGGGAATGTGAGAGCCAAGGGGGTAATATTTATACAAAAAAGAAGGGAACTTCTCAATTTGAGAATATTTACTGAAAAGACAAAAATGTATGTATAAAGTACATTCTTTCATGTTGCAGAACAGAAGTAATAGTGTAACTGGAAATCAAAATATTTTTCCAAAGGAAATGTATTTATTACTTAGGTTTTGAGATAATAATTATTGAAGCAGGATAAGGAACTAATGTTGGGATATTACAAATATTTAGGTCGGTATAGTTCAGCATCAATAAGGGCATACAGGGTGAGATAAAACAAGTTAAAAGCAGTAAGTAAGGCCGGGTCGAACTTTGAATACCCTCCCCCATTTGGAACGAATTTGGTAATTTTCAAAAAAAAAAAAAAAAAAAAAAAAATAGCCGATATATTGGGGTCTTTTTTTTCAAAAAATAAAAACAGCCCTTATATTGGGGTCTATACGACGTGGGCCTACATAGGCACTGTTTGTTATAAGCCATTACCATATTATAAACGGGTATAATTTAACATCTTCAAAATACCATATATGGGGAGATACCGTTATATCGGAGCTATACGAAAACCTTGACCATCATAGACAATTTTCTGTCACAGGATGCAGCATCCATTACGAATTTCAAATACGACATCTCAAACAATTTCGGTAGGTATTGTACCTAAAATCGTTAACATACCGAATATAGGGAGGCACTGATATATGAGGCCTATATGAAGATTTGGTCCTGCCAAAACATTTTGTGTCACAGACTGCAGTTCCCGTTACGAACTCTTAATAGGTAATTTGAAACTACTCCGGTGAATAACGACGCTAAGATCATCAAAATACCGAATATTGGGGGGCCGTTATAGGGGGGCTATACGAAGACATAGACCTGCATAGACATTTATGTCATAAGCTGAGGTATCTATTACGAACTTCAAATGCCAAATTTGAAACAATTCCGGTGAATAATGTTGCTAAAATCATCAAAATAACGAATATAGGGAGGTTCCGTTATATGGGGGCTATACGAAGACGTGGACCTGCACAGACAATTTTCTGGCCTAGGCTGTTGTACCCATTTCGAACTTTAAATATCAAATTTGAAACAATTCCGATGAATAATGTCGCTAAAATCACCAAAATACCAAATATCGGGAGGTACCATTATATGGGGGCTATAGTAAAGGTGGTCCTACATAACCCATTTACAAAATTAACTTGCCTACAGGCAAAATAAACATGTGTGCAAAATGTTAGCCTTCTACCTCAATTCGTTCGAAAGATAGCGTGATTACAACCGAAAGAAGGCTGACATCGCTAAATCGACTTCGAGTTTTATGCTGATCAAGAATATATTTAAATTGTTGGGTCTGAAATGAGTATATCGAGGAGTTACAAACGGAATGACAAAGTTAACATACCCTCCATAGAATGGTGGAGGGTATAAAAAAACTGCATCAAGGTTTGCTTTTGTTGTATTTTGACATTTTTTTAAATTTATTGAATGACGGAAAAATTATCGGAAATAACATCAAATTTTTAACGGCCAATGAAGCCGTAAATCGCTTCCGAATTTTGCTTTGCGGTATTTGGCCCATTCCCGGCGAAACACTTGCTTGAGGTGATCGTCACTTTGCTATTTTTTAGTGCAAACCTTGCATTCCAAAATACTCTAGACACAATAGTCCAACGGATGTTTGCGTGCCCAAGGCTTTAATACACCCTCCAGAATATTTCCGCGATAATATTCGGCATTTATTCTGATGCCACGTTCTATTAATACGAGCGGGGAGCGACCATCGGCTGTTATGGCGGCTCACACCATTACGCTTGAGTTCTGGTGGCCAACCGAAGGTTCACATTTTCAGCTGATCTCTTTGGCAAGTAAACACGATCATTTTGTTTGTGTACAATCTGCTGGAAAACGAATGTTTTCTCATCGGAGAAAACCAAATTCGGCAGCTCATCACTTTCGGCCAAGCGAAGCAACCCGTTAGCTCTTTTGAGTCTATTTTCTTTCTGTTGCGGTGTAAGTTCTTGCACTTTTGGAATTTCAATGGCTTTACCCCTAGCTCATTTTTCAATATTTGCCGAATGGAATATTGCAATATGTTCAGATCACGAGCCATTTTTCGACCACTGTGACGCTGGTTTCGATCAAGTCGCTTCTTTACTTTTCGAACCATTTCTGCTGATGTTAATATTATCTTCCGTCCACTTCGTGGACGGCGGGCTACGCTATCAGTATCACGGTAACAAGCGATGGTACGAAACACAACAGATTTATTCACATTTAAATGATGGAGTGCTCTAACAATAGCCACTTGTGGTTTTTCAGCCATACACAAAGAAATCACACTATCAGGCTTGAATTCCATCACGAATAATTTTTTTCTTGACAATTCTCACTATAGTGCTTTTGAACGCTTATAAACAATATAATGAGCTGTTACTGGAATAATTTTTACAGCTGTCGGACGAGTGGCTTAGAAATGACAGCAGTCTGAAATTGGTTGCAATTTTTTCATCTCACCTTGTATATCTTCAACCGATTTCGGGTGAATTGTTCACACAATGGCCAATATCTGTCCAAATGATGTGAATTTTGACACACCCGACCGAATTAAGTCTAGAAGCAAATACATTAAATTTGGAAATCGGTTCAGATATAGCTATAGCTCCCATATATATGTATTATCCGATTTGATGTTCATGTCCCTTACATGCGTAATATACACTCCACAACAGTAATGTTTGATACCTGACACCATCCGACTGCTCGAAAATACAAATTTTTATCGAGGTTGGTTCAGATTTTTATATACCTGTGACGTACATCTTCCTCCGATTTTATGGATATTGGTCACCACACATATAATATCAGCCCAAATTGGATAGATTTTTTCATAGAAGCAAGTGCATCAAATTTGGAGAAAATCGGTTCAGATATAGCCATACCTCCCACATATATATTGTTCGTCTGATTTTTTGTCCCCCGCAGTCATAATCTGCACTCTTATATAAAAAACAAAAAAAAAAAGTCTTAAAGTTGGGAGGGGCCGACTTTATAATGCCCTACACCACTTTGCTAATTCAGTAGAGCTCCGCATAACAATTAAAAGTTTTTATGGGAGAATTCAATCATACACGATATGATTATAATTATAATTTAAAGTTCAAAAGACTAAATATGGCGAAGCATTAGTTTGAAATCGAATAAAGATATATATGGGAGCTATATCCAAATCGGAACCGATCTCAATAAAATTTGGCAAAGATATTTCTGAGCTGTGTTTGATATATTTCCCTGAATATTGCTCTTACGGAGTGCATATTACGGTTGTGGGTAACAAATATAAAAAATCGGATGAACAATATATATGAGAGCTATAGCTATATCTGAACCGATCTTCACCAAATTGTACATACTAGCTTCTAGACTCAATTCGGTCGTAAGTGCCAAGTTCCATCCCATTTGGACAAATATTAGATTTTTGGTGCACAAGAAAGTGTAAATCGGACGAAGTTAAATATGGGAGCTTATCCAAATCTGGACCGACCTCGATAAAATTTAGCAAATGTAATTCTGAGCTGTATTTGATATATTTCCCCAAATATTGTTGTTACAGAATGCATATTACGGCTGCTGAGAACAAATATAACAAATCGGATGAACAATATATATGGGAGCTATAGCTATATCTGAACCGATTTCGATCAAATTTTGTATACTTATTTTCAGACCCAATCTGGTCGTACGTGCAAAATTCCATAATATTCGGACTTATATTACACGTTTGGTGCACAATAAAATGCAAATCGGACGAAGATACATATCTATATCTAAATTTTGACCGATTATCTCCAATTCCAATAGGGTTCGTCCTTGGGCCAAACAAATGATTTGTGCAAAATGTCATCTGAATAGGGCAATAAATGCAAACTGTGCTTTGTTTACAAAAATACATGGACAGACGGACGGACGGACATGCATAAATCGACTCAGAATGTGATTCTATGCAGATCATCAAAAGGAACTATGGGTCTATCTCGTTTCCTTTTGCCTGTTACAAACAAATGCACAAAGACATAATACCCTGACCACCTTTTGGTGTTTGGTATAAAAATGATGTGAGCTACCAAATACAATATAAAAATATCTCTGTTAATTTGTTAGGGATCGGTTGAAATTTGGATATAGCTCCTATATAAGTTTTTATCCGATTTCACGTCTATTGTGCACAAAAAGTGTAATCCCAGCCTAAAAAAAATGGATTTTTGGGAAAAGTGGATCAAATATAGCTATAACGTCGAGATATGTGTTTTCATTTTATCCTCCCCACTCTCAGAGTTGGTTCCATTATACATTAGTTCCTGTTTGATTCTAAATTATAAATGTTTCGTGTAGATTTATTAAAGACTGGGTATCACTATGGAGAACATGTTTTAAAAATTTAACTAACTGAACTTAATTTGAAATTTATTTTCAGTTAACATACTTTGGGGAGCTGATTAAATTGCTTTGACACATTCTCAAATGCAATATATTCCTAAAAGTATGCTACCCCTTTCGCTAAAATTCCTACTCATAATATCACTTATTTATTTTATGCAAATCAAACAAGATTATTTGTTATGCTATTTAAAATAAAACAATAGTCGGAGAGAAAAAAAAAAATAATTATTCAATTTATTTTCGATTTCTTAACAATTGAGATGCCATAAAATCGAAAGTTAAATACTCGAATGCCAAACACTAGCCAATTTGATTGTTTAACATTTTGATTGTTTATGGAATGCTGTCAAATGAAATTAGAATTCTGAGCAATCGCTAGAAAGTAAACTTGTCCCGAAATGATGGGGTGATCATAATTATACAGCAACAGACAATATGTCTCAAGAAGATCAAAGATTTGCATTATTTATCGATTATAAATCATTGTCGAAACGATTTTTTTTTTTGGCTGCATGTGCAAACATTAAACAAAGGGGTAAAAAAAGAGTTCGGACTGAGCGAATTGTAAACACACTTCGTTAATGAAAAAAAAAAAAAAAAACAAGTAAGCAAAGGCTATAGTCGTGCGGGGCCGACTATGTTATACCCTACAACACTACAATATGTTAGAAGCTCCCTTATGTCCAAATCCATATTGGAAGATTTCGCTTTTGAAATTGGGATTTTGACTAGGGACATTTGCTCAATATTTATTTTTAGTTGTTGGTCCATTTCATATTGCATTATATTGCGGACATCTTTGAAAACAATAGCCCTTCTGAGCCCAACCCTACCCTTGTGAAAATTTTCGTGAGGATCGGACGATATTTGCAATATTTATATAATATCCCCAACCTGTGTTGTAAGCTGAAAAAATATTACAAAATATTAAAAGTCAAATTGAAAAATTCGCATGCGATAAAAAATATGAAAAAAATAAAAAAAATGTCATAAAATACTACAAAATCTATATTAATCAAACTTATAATACCCCCAACACATAGTGTTGTAGGGTATAATAATAATTTTGAAGTGCTAATTTTTTTATATATTAATTTGAAATATTTATTTTATTTAAATGAAAAAAATTTACCCCCAAAGTTTATATTTATGATCATCATTCAATATTATGTCAATTTAGCCATGTCTACCGAGAGGAAATAAATTCATGGATACAATTAAATCCAAAGCTTTTAAAGGTATTGAAATTTCGGCACTGAACATGGATACAACTTTCTTTCTCTAGATGTTTATAGATACATTTTCAATCTAAATAGTAATTAAAATAGTACACTCCTTGTGGTACCTATCCAATTTTTTTACCCTACAACACTATGTGTTGGGGTATTATAAGTTTGATTGGGCCAAAAATTATGTAACAACACTTGATTTTGCTGTTGCTCTACAGGTCACATTTATAGATAAACGGAATTTAATATGGGGCTAGTGTTTAGGGTTGGTCGGAAGCCGACCATTCTGTTTGGTCATCGGACAATATTTAGTGGGTAATAATACCATAACTTGTATATGAAAATACGAAAATCTCCATTAAAACGCGAATATTTTTAATCCTGGTGAAATGCACGAAAATCAAATCCAACATAACGCATATACAGCAAAATGTATACAATCTCATATATCAATGAAGGGGATGTTAGTTAGACCGCTTATACAAGAACGGCTGGACGGATTTTGAAAATTCTCATAAATTTGGAATGGCTTCTTCCCAGAAAAGGATAAAGTCTAAGATAACCGCATGCCTACAAATAAGTGAATATTTATGTTTAATTTTTTTATTTTTTGTCATATTATTTATCGCATGAGGTATTTTCATATTATACTTCCAATATCGAATTTTACGTTTGGTAATATTACAACACTGTATTTTGGGAGTATTACATTCAAGTCGCAATTATCGTCCGATTCTCAAGAAATTTCGCATGAGGATAGAGTTAGGGTCATAATTAAACCCATTTTTCAGGATGTATATTTAGGGATTCAAATTGGCAAAAATTAAAACTTTCCTGGTCTTGCAGTGGCTCTACAGGACACAGTTGAAAACCAATCGACACGGAATTTTGCATACGGTTAGGGCTTAGGACAGCGCAGAAGTGTAGCATTTTGGACGACCGTTGAATTATATTTATCTGAAAAATGCACCTCTATAGCATTTGCTTAGTTGTTTTTTTTTTATTTATTTAATTGGAGCGAATAGTGTAGCCTATATGGTCCAACTTGAAACAACTTAAAGCAGAATTAAGTCAAGTATGAAGAAGCACATCTAGCATCAATATTTTAAATAATACAATGTGATATGACGTTCCTCAAACATCCCAATGTTGACCCACATCCTAAAGAGTATATAAAAAGTGAAATAAGTGTTTCATTTTCGTCGAAATACTCTCATCGCGTTTTTCTTACCTACCAACATTTTGAATAACCAAAACGATCATAAAATCCTGAATAAGCATCGAATTTTCACACATCCCATTATTTCTACTAACACAAGATCTGTTGTGAAGATGATAGATATCTAACTACTCCTTCCGGTACCTTAGTATGATATAAATATACCGGAAATATGATATAAATATGAAATTTATCATTTCCCATAAAATTGGATATATAGAGGGTGAGATGAACATACTGCAACCAACTTGAGACAACTGTTATTTCCAATCCACTCATCCGACAGCTGTTAAAATTATTCCAGCGACAGCTCATTATATTGTTTACAATCGTACAAAAGCATTTTGGCGAGAATTTTCCAGAAAGAAGTTATTTGTGATGATTTCTTTATATTTGGCTGGAAAACCACAAGTGGCTATCGTTAGAGCACTCCAGCATTTAAATGTGAATAAATCTTTTGTGTCTCGTACCATCGCTCGTTACCGTGATACTGGACGTTACCGTGAAGTGAGCGGAAGAAAACAGCAACATCAGCAGAAATCGTTCGAAAAATATGGAAGTGACTTGATCGAAACCCGCGTCGCAATGGACGAAAATGGGTCGTAAGCTGAACATATCGTAATATTCCATTCGGAAAATATTGAAAAATGAACTCGGGTTAAAGATATTGAAATTCCAAAAAGTGCAAGAACTTACACCGCAACATAAAGAATATAGACTCAAAAGAGCTACAGAGTTGCTTCCCTTGCCCGAAAGTGGTGAACTGCCGAATTTGTTTTTTCCGTCTTCGATGAGAAAACATTCAATGTCCAGCAGTTGGTAAACAAACAAAATGACCGTATTTATTTGCCAAAGAGGTCAGCTGAAAATGTGCACGGTTGGCCACCAAAACTCAAGCGTCGGCCATGGTGATGGTGTGGGCCGCCATAACAGCCGATGGTCGCTCTCCACTCTTATTAATCGATCGTGGCATCTGAATAAATGCCCAATATTATCGCAAAAATATTCTGGAGGTTTTATTAAACATTTTGGCCGCAGACCTTGGACATTCCACAGGATTCAGCACCATCGCACTCAGCACGCGCCCCCCAAGAATGGTTGCAAAATGAGATTCCTCGCTTCATTTCCAGCGCATAATTACCACCAAAATCTCCGTTTACCAATCCCGTTGGACTATTGTGTCTGGAGTATTTTGGAAAGCAAGGTTGGCGCTAAAAAATACCAAGGATCACCTCAAGCAAGCGCTTCGCCGGGAATGGGACAAAATACCGCAGAGCAACATTCGGCCATCGTGTGACGGTTTCATAGGCCGTTTGAAGGCCATAATTAGTGACAAAGGTGATCAACTCGAACAAATGTAAACTTATTCCAAAATTTGATGATATTTTCGATATTTTTTGCATTCATTCAAAAATTCTAAAAATAAATTATGGCGTTTGACTTTGTTGCGATTTTTTAATCTCACCCTGTATACCGATTTCGAGGAATTCGAATACTTATATAACATTTGACTCACTACTTTCAGTCATGAAATTCCATCATTCGGTGTATGAAGTCTCATTAAAAAAAATCTTGAAAGTCCAATAATGTTTTGGAACGAAGTCCTTGAAAAAAATCAACGAATTTCGAAAAAAAAGCCTAATAATATATTTCCTCTAATATATTATTAGATATTTTTTCAAAAATCGTTGATTTTTTCAAGGACTTCATTCCAAAATATTATGGGACTTTTAAGATTTTTTTTTTTTGATGGGACTTCATTCCTATAAAGATCGGATTTCATGACTAAAAGTTGTTAGTCCAATGTTATATAAGTATTCTTATGTAATCTTATTTATAATGTGAAATTTCTTAAAAATCTTTACTTTCTTTTGAAGTTTGTACTTTTTGTCATACCAGACCTTAATTGGAGTTTTGGTTTATTTAAATAAATCATAACAGATGTAATATGATTTTTGGTCTTCGAAACAATATTTTGCATTGTTACAAACCGAACGATCAACGAAACATAATCTGTTTTATGCCATAGTGGTGGGTAAATCCCGAACTCATATTTACCAGTCAAGCCAGAATATGCTCATAGTAGCATATCTTTAATACTCTAACTAGCCAATATAAAGAATATTTTAATTGTTATTGAAATATTTCTAAAAAAATAACTGATCTGATTTGTGGTATAAAAACATCTTGTTTTGTTAGATCGCATATCACTTGAACTCTTCTGCCAGTAGGAGATCAGCACGCTTATGATGGTTAGTATTTATCAACGAAATGAGAATATATATCAAATATAATAAAAATATTTAAATATGGTGGTTTGTGCATTACAGAAACTCTTCATTGCCTTGTTTGCATTGGTGGCAGTTGCCAGCGCCGATGTCAGCCATTTGCTCAACACTGAATATTTGCCACCTCATCAAGGTGCTCATTCGGCACCTGCTGTAAGCTATAGTGCACCAGCTGCCACCTATCATGTTGCTGCTTCAGCTCCTGCTGTGTCATACTCTGCTCCTGCTGTCACTCACACCTACTCGGCTCCAGCAGTTTCATACTCTGCTCCAGCTGCCACCTATCATGTTGCTGAATCGGCTCCTGCTGTATCCTACTCTGCCCCAGCTGCCGTATCCTACTCCGCCCCCGCTGCTGTATCTTACAGTGCCCCAGCTGCCACCTATGAAACTTATCAAGCTTCCGCTCCCACTGCCACTTTCTCGGCCAGCGAGGGCTATCGTTACAAGACTAACAAGCGCAGCCGCCGTCGTCATCGTCGCGATGTCAGCACTGAATATTTGCCACCAGTAGCTTCATACTCTGCACCAGCTGCTACGTATGCTGCTCCAGCAGCTGTATCTTACTCTGCACCAGCCGATTCTTACTCTGCTCCAGCTGCTGTGTCCTACTCTGCCCCAGCTGCCGTTTCTTACTCTGCTCCAGCTACCGTTTCTTATTCCGCTCCAGCTGCTACTTACTCTGCTCCAGCCTATGAATCGTATGAAGTTGCCGGAACTGCTCCAGCTCATTCTTATTCGGCTGCCGAAGGCTATCGTTACAAGACTCAACGTCGTCGCGTTGTTAAGACTTCTCGCCGCCACCGTAACTAAGCAGAAGAAGTTCCGATATTCGATGCATACCTAAACGATACTCAAACAATTAAAGATTATTTGATTAATAAAAAAGCGAAATTTTTTTAATTGGCGGTAAGGGGGTTGAGACAGTATGATATGTGATAGCGAACTTTTAGTTTTTTATTTTTTTTGTATAACTTAGTGGAGCTCTTTTGAAACTATTCTGTTAAACGTTTTCAAAATCCTAGTAGGTAAGGTACATGGTACCTTCCTCAACAAAAGGTCAAAATTTTCTATGAAAATAATTTACCTAATAGAAAGGATCATTCGATTTTGTGCAAACGCAAATCTCAATATTTTTTTCAGTGCTATGTCAGGTGTGAAAATGCACCTCTACCGTAAAGAATCAACATTTGGAATAATTATAACCCTAATAAAATGTCAAATAAGAGACCGATTGTCTTCAAATTTCAAATTTCGCATATCGCAATATTTATATTAACACAAGATCTACTGTGAGTGGATCGGTCTACTTCTTCTGGTACCTCCCCACAACGGGTCTAAATGTTGAATAGCTATGCATCTCTTAAAACGTGAAATGAGCATTCGATTCCTTTTAAACTCCTCACATCTAAATATTTCTATCAAAAATAAGATCAGCTGTGAAAATTGTAGATATCAGCCCACTCCTTCTGGTACCTAGCCCACAAAGGGTCAACATTTTGAATAACCATAAAATTCTCTTAAAATTTCCCGCATTGTAATGTTTATACAAAAATCAAGATCTTGTGTAAAGGAGAAATATGTAGGATCACTGCTTTTGATACCTTCCCCACAACAGGTCAAAATATGGAACGACCCAAACTCTCATAAAATGCGAAAAAGGCATCCAATTCTTTCTAAGCTCCACCCATTCTTAAATTTCCACTAACACTGTAAAGATGAAATATACCGGTTCACTCCTTCTGGTATCTTCTGCAGAAAGGGTCAAAAATTGGATAATTACATCTATATCTATAAAAGAGGAAAATGTTTGTATGTTTGTTTGTTTGTTTGTTTGTTTGTTTGTAATTTATAGACTCGAAAACCGCTGAATAGATTTTCCTGAAAATTTCCATATATACTGCAACATCGCCTGAAAGTAACATAGGCTATATACATTTTTGAATTTCCACTTGGAACTGGAGATATATCATCAGAATCGGAGGTACCTCCCAAAAATTTAGATTTTATATGCACATATCTATTGATTGGTTGAAGATACAGTCTCCAAATTTGGAATACGTAACGGAATTTGGAACAAAAATAAGTTTGAAAAATTATATTGTAATCGGATCAGATTCGGATATAGCTCCCATATATATTTTCGACCGATTTCGTTCATTTGATGCCTCAAACACAATATGAATGTTGATTCCAATGAAATTTGGAATGTGTGACGGGATTTGATCTGAAAATAAATTTGTCAAATTATATTGAAATCGGTTCAGATTTGGATATAGCTCCCATATATATTTTCGGCCGATTTCAAGCATTTGATGCGCCAAACACGCTATATATCCCCAATTTCAATGAAATTTGAAACGTGTGATAGATTTTATCTAAAAAATTGATTTCCAAAATTATTCTGAAATCGGTTCAGATTTGGATATAGCTCCCATATAAATTTTCGGCCGATTTCATGTATTTGGTGGACCAAACACGATATGTATTTCCAATTGTAATGAAATTTAAAATAAGTAACGGAATTGGGAGCCAAAATGAATTTGTCAAATTAAATTGAAATCGGTTCAGATTTGGATATAGCTCCCATATATATTTTCGACCGATTTCATGTATTTGATGCACCATACACGATATGTATGTTCGATTCCAAAGAAATTTGGAATATGTAACGGGATTTTGATTAGAAAATAAATTAGCCAAATTATATTAAAATCGGTTCAGATTTGGATATAGCTCCCATATATATTTTCCGCCGATTTCACATATTTGATGCACAAAACACGATACGTATTTCCGATTCCAATGAAATTCGGCATTTGGTACAAAAATAAATTTGACAAATTATATTCAAATACGCTCAGATTTGATTATAGCTCCCATATATATACTCTGCCGATTTCACATATTTGATGCACCCAAAGCGAGAGAGACAAAATCTGGCACCAGAAAAAATTGCCAAATTATATTGAAATCAGTTGAGGTTTGGATATAGCTAACATATATATTTCGGCCGATTTCATATATGTTATGCACCAAACATGATATATATGACCGATACCAATGAAATTCAGAATGTGTGGCGGAATTTGGTTACAATAATAAATGTGACAAATTAATTGGAAATTAGTTAAGATTTGGATATAGCTCCCATATATATATTATCGGCCGATTTCACATATTTGACGCACCAATTTCAATGAAATATGAAAGGTGTGGCTGAGTTTAGTGCAAAAGTATTTTTTTTAAATTATATTTAAATCGGATCAGATTGGGATATGATTTTAAAAAGAACCATTGACCCACACCGGCTTAGGCTAACACTAAAAAACAACACAACAATTGATTTGAAATACGCTTATTACGGTGAAGTATATTGCTATCTCGAATTCACTAATTGCAATAGAAATGCCACTCAACTTCAAAAGAATGCAGTTTACTGCACGCTTGGTATTTGCTATGAAATAAATAAATCCGAAAGACAAACCCTTCGTGTATGTATGTCATGTTACTGCTTTTCTAATAGTTTTGGTTATTTACGCATTAATGTAGTGAAAATTTTTTTTTTTTAATTTTTAAATTTGTTTTTTTTTTAACCAACATATATTCGTAAATAAAATTTTGAATGCATATAAAATCAAAAGGGGTAGCGAAGCGCACCGGGTTCAGCTAGTCTGTTATAACATTCGAAACTGGTCAGCGAATTTTTTTAAACTTTGTTCATCTAAGTAATATTGGCTCGTAACTTGAATATATCGCAATATTCCATTCGGAAAATATTGAAAAATGAGCTCGGGTAAAGCCATTGAAATTCCAGAAAGTGCAAGAACTTACACCGCGACAGAAAGAAAATAGACTCAAAAGAGTGGTCGAATGTGGTGAACTGCAGAATTTGTTTTTATCCGATGAGAAAACATTCGGTGTCCAGCAGTTTGTAAACAAACAAAATGATCGTGTTTACTTGCCAAAGAGGTCAGCTGGAAATGTGCACCTTCGGTTGGCCACCAGAACTCAAGCGCCGGCCATAGTGATGGTGTGAGCCGCCATAACAGCCGAAGGTCGCTCTCCGCTCGTATTAATCGACCGTGGCATTATAATAAATGCCGAATATTATCGCGAAAATATTCTGGAGGGTGTATTAAAGCATTCGGCACGCAAACATTTTGGCCGCATACCTTGGACATTCCAACAGGACTCAGCACTCTCGCACTCAGCACGCGCCACCCAAGAATGGTTACAAAATCAGGTTCCTCGCTTCATTTCCAGCGCACAATGGCCACCAAAATCTCCGGATACCAATCCGTTGGACTATTGTGTCTGGAGTATTTTGGAAAGCAAGGTTGGCACTAAAAATACCAACGAGTCGATCACCTCAAGCAAGCGCTTCGCCGGGAATGGGCTAAAATACCGCAGAGCATCATTCGAGCAGCGTGTGACGGTTTCATTGGCCGTTTGAAGGCCATAATTCGTGCCAAAGATAACCAAATCGAACAAATCATAACTTATTCTAAAATTTGATGCTATTTGCGCATTTTTTGCTCTCATCCAATAAAATTTGACTTTGTTCCATTTTTATACCCTCCACCTTGGAAAGGAGGGTATATTAACTTTGTCATATATTCGTGTTAGACCCCATAAAGTATATATATTCATAATCAGCATAAAATTCTAAGTCGATTTAACGATGTCCATCTGTCTGTCTGTCCGTCTGTCTGTTGAAATCACGATACAGCCCACATTATTTGACGTAGAGCGCCAAAATTTAGCAGAGCTATTTGCATTGTGTCTAGGATGGTTGGTATTGAAAATGAGATATATCGGTCCACGTTCTGGTATAGGCCCCATATAACGGCACCTCCCGATATTCGGCATTTTGATGATTTATGCCACATTTTTTCACGGACTTGTCTGGAAATTGGTATTTGTAGGTTATAACGGGTCCCTGAGCGTGTGGCAAAACATTGCATGTATAGGTCCACGTTGTGGTGTAGCCCTCACATAAAGGTACCTCCCTATATTCGGTATTTTAGTTTTTTTTTTGCCACATTTTTTTACCGATTTGTGTAAAAATTGGTATTTGAGGGTCATAATGGTTTCCAGCTTCGGTGGAGAAACATTGCATGTATGGGTCCATGATTTGGTATAGCCCCCATATAACGGTACCTCCCGATATTCGGTAATTTAATGATTTTTGCGACCCTTTTTTACGGATTTGTCTGAAAATTGGTATTGTTGGCCACAATGGGTTCCAGCTCCGGTGGCGAAACCTTGCATGTATGGGTCCATGATTTGGTATAGCCCCCATATAACGGTATCTCCCAATATTCGGTAATTTGATGATTTTTGCAACCTTTTTTCACGGATTTGTCTGAAAATTGGTATTTGTTGGTCATAATTGGTCCTAGTTTGTGTAGCGAAACATTGCATGTATGGTTCCATGATTTGGTATAGCCCCAAGAATGGTTGCAAAATGAGATTCCTCGCTTCATTTCCAGCGCATAATTGCAAGGTTGGCGCTAAAAAATACCAAGGATCACCTCAAGCAAGCGCTTCGCCGGGAATGGGACAAAATACCGCAGAGCAACATTCGGCCATCGTGTGACGGTTTCATAGGCCGTTTGAAGGCCATAATTAGTGACAAAGGTGATCAACTCGAACAAATGTAAACTTATTCCAAAATTTGATGATATTTTCGATATTTTTTGCATTCATTCAAAAAATTCTAAAAATAAATTATGGCGTTTGACTTTGTTGCGATTTTTTAATCTCACCCTGTATACCGATTTCGAGGAATTCGAATACTTATATAACATTTGACTCACTACTTTCAGTCATGAAATTCCATCATTCGGTGTATGAAGTCTCATTAAAAAAAATCTTGAAAGTCCAATAATGTTTTGGAACGAAGTCCTTGAAAAAAATCAACGAATTTCGAAAAAAAAGCCTAATAATATATTTCCTCTAATATATTATTAGATATTTTTCAAAAATCGTTGATTTTTTCAAGGACTTCATTCCAAAATATTATGGGACTTTTAAGATTTTTTTTTTTGATGGGACTTCATTCCTATAAAGATCGGATTTCATGACTAAAAGTTGTTAGTCCAATGTTATATAAGTATTCTTATGTAATCTTATTTATAATGTGAAATTTCTTAAAAATCTTTACTTTCTTTTGAAGTTTGTACTTTTGTCATACCAGACCTTAATTGGAGTTTTGGTTTATTTAAATAAATCATAACAGATGTAATATGATTTTTGGTCTTCGAAACAATATTTGCATTGTTACAAACCGAACGATCAACGAAACATAATCTGTTTTATGCCATAGTGGTGGGTAAATCCCGAACTCATATTTACCAGTCAAGCCAGAATTTGCTCATAGTAGCATATCTTTAATACTCTAACTAGCCAATATAAAGAATATTTTAATTGTTATTGAAATATTTCTAAAAAAATAACTGATCTGATTTGTGGTATAAAAACATCTTGTTTTGTTAGATCGCATATCACTTGAACTCTTCTGCCAGTAGGAGATCAGCACGCTTATGATGGTTAGTATTTATCAACGAAATGAGAATATATATCAAATATAATAAAAATATTTAAATATGGTGGTTTGTGCATTACAGAAACTCTTCATTGCCTTGTTTGCATTGGTGGCAGTTGCCAGCGCCGATGTCAGCCATTTGCTCAACACTGAATATTTGCCACCTCATCAAGGTGCTCATTCGGCACCTGCTGTAAGCTATAGTGCACCAGCTGCCACCTATCATGTTGCTGCTTCAGCTCCTGCTGTGTCATACTCTGCTCCTGCTGTCACTCACACCTACTCGGCTCCAGCAGTTTCATACTCTGCTCCAGCTGCCACCTATCATGTTGCTGAATCGGCTCCTGCTGTATCCTACTCTGCCCCAGCTGCCGTATCCTACTCCGCCCCCGCTGCTGTATCTTACAGTGCCCCAGCTGCCACCTATGAAACTTATCAAGCTTCCGCTCCCACTGCCACTTTCTCGGCCAGCGAGGGCTATCGTTACAAGACTAACAAGCGCAGCCGCCGTCGTCATCGTCGCGATGTCAGCACTGAATATTTGCCACCAGTAGCTTCATACTCTGCACCAGCTGCTACGTATGCTGCTCCAGCAGCTGTATCTTACTCTGCACCAGCCGTTTCTTACTCTGCTCCAGCTGCTGTGTCCTACTCTGCCCCAGCTGCCGTTTCTTACTCTGCTCCAGCTACCGTTTCTTATTCCGCTCCAGCTGCTACTTACTCTGCTCCAGCCTATGAATCGTATGAAGTTGCCGGAACTGCTCCAGCTCATTCTTATTCGGCTGCCGAAGGCTATCGTTACAAGACTCAACGTCGTCGCGTTGTTAAGACTTCTCGCCGCCACCGTAACTAAGCAGAAGAAGTTCCGATATTCGATGCATACCTAAACGATACTCAAACAAATTAAAGATTATTGATTAATAAAAAAGCGAAATTTTTTTAATTGGCGGTAAGGGGGTTGAGACAGTATGATATGTGATAGCGAACTTTTAGTTTTTTATTTTTTTTGTATAACTTAGTGGAGCTCTTTTGAAACTATTCTGTTAAACGTTTTCAAAATCCTAGTAGGTAAGGTACATGGTACCTTCCTCAACAAAAGGTCAAAATTTTCTATGAAAATAATTTACCTAATAGAAAGGATCATTCGATTTTGTGCAAACGCAAATCTCAATATTTTTTTCAGTGCTATGTCAGGTGTGAAAATGCACCTCTACCGTAAAGAATCAACATTTGGAATAATTATAACCCTAATAAAATGTCAAATAAGAGACCGATTGTCTTCAAATTTCAAATTTCGCATATCGCAATATTTATATTAACACAAGATCTACTGTGAGTGGATCGGTCTACTTCTTCTGGTACCTCCCCACAACGGGTCTAAATGTTGAATAGCTATGCATCTCTTAAAACGTGAAATGAGCATTCGATTCCTTTTAAACTCCTCACATCTAAATATTTCTATCAAAAATAAGATCAGCTGTGAAAATTGTAGATATCAGCCCACTCCTTCTGGTACCTAGCCCACAAAGGGTCAACATTTTGAATAACCATAAAATTCTCTTAAAATTTCCCGCATTGTAATGTTTATACAAAAATCAAGATCTTGTGTAAAGGAGAAATATGTAGGATCACTGCTTTTGATACCTTCCCCACAACAGGTCAAAATATGGAACGACCCAAACTCTCATAAAATGCGAAAAAGGCATCCAATTCTTTCTAAGCTCCACCCATTCTTAAATTTCCACTAACACTGTAAAGATGAAATATACCGGTTCACTCCTTCTGGTATCTTCTGCAGAAAGGGTCAAAAATTGGATAATTACATCTATATCTATAAAAGAGGAAAATGTTTGTATGTTTGTTTGTTTGTTTGTTTGTTTGTTTGTAATTTATAGACTCGAAAACCGCTGAATAGATTTTCCTGAAAATTTCCATATATACTGCAACATCGCCTGAAAGTAACATAGGCTATATACATTTTTGAATTTCCACTTGGAACTGGAGATATATCATCAGAATCGGAGGTACCTCCCAAAAATTTTGATTTTATATGCACATATCTATTGATTGGTTGAAGATACAGTCTCCAAATTTGGAATACGTAACTGAATTTGGAACAAAAATAAGTTTGAAAAATTATATTGTAATCGGATCAGATTCGGATATAGCTCCCATATATATTTTCGACCGATTTCGTTCATTTGATGCCTCAAACACAATATGAATGTTTGATTCCAATGAAATTTGGAATGTGTGACGGGATTTGATCTGAAAATAAATTTGTCAAATTATATTGAAATCGGTTCAGATTTGGATATAGCTCCCATATATATTTTCGGCCGATTTCAAGCATTTGATGCGCCAAACACGCTATATATCCCCAATTTCAATGAAATTTGAAACGTGTGATAGATTTTATCTAAAAATTGATTTCCAAATTATTCTGAAATCGGTTCAGATTTGGATATAGCTCCCATATAAATTTTCGGCCGATTTCATGTATTTGGTGGACCAAACACGATATGTATTTCCAATTGTAATGAAATTTAAAATAAGTAACGGAATTGGGAGCCAAAATGAATTTGTCAAATTAAATTGAAATCGGTTCAGATTTGGATATAGCTCCCATATATATTTTCGACCGATTTCATGTATTTGATGCACCATACACGATATGTATGTTCGATTCCAAAGAAATTTGGAATATGTAACGGGATTTTGATTAGAAAATAAATTAGCCAAATTATATTAAAATCGGTTCAGATTTGGATATAGCTCCCATATATATTTTCCGCCGATTTCACATATTTGATGCACAAAACACGATACGTATTTCCGATTCCAATGAAATTCGGCATTTGGTACAAAAATAAATTTGACAAATTATATTCAAATACGCTCAGATTTGATTATAGCTCCCATATATACTCTGCCGATTTCACATATTTGATGCACCCAAAGCGAGAGAGACAAAATCTGGCACCAGAAAAAATTGCCAAATTATATTGAAATCAGTTGAGGTTTGGATATAGCTAACATATATATTTCGGGCCGATTTCATATATGTTATGCACCAAACATGATATATATGACCGATACCAATGAAATTCAGAATGTGTGGCGGAATTTGGTTACAATAATAAATGTGACAAATTAATTGGAAATTAGTTAAGATTTGGATATAGCTCCCATATATATATTATCGGCCGATTTCACATATTTGACGCACCAATTTCAATGAAATATGAAAGGTGTGGCTGAGTTTAGTGCAAAAGTATTTTTTTTAAATTATATTTAAATCGGATCAGATTGGGATATGATTTTAAAAAGAACCATTGACCCACACCGGCTTAGGCTAACACTAAAAAACAACACAACAATTGATTTGAAATACGCTTATTACGGTGAAGTATATTGCTATCTCGAATTCACTAATTGCAATAGAAATGCCACTCAACTTCAAAAGAATGCAGTTTACTGCACGCTTGGTATTTGCTATGAAATAAATAAATCCGAAAGACAAACCCTTCGTGTATGTATGTCATGTTACTGCTTTTCTAATAGTTTTGGTTATTTACGCATTAATGTAGTGAAAATTTTTTTTTTTTAATTTTTAAATTTGTTTTTTTTTTAACCAACATATATTCGTAAATAAAATTTTGAATGCATATAAAATCAAAAGGGGTAGCGAAGCGCACCGGGTTCAGCTAGTCTGTTATAACATTCGAAACTGGTCAGCGAATTTTTTTAAACTTTGTTCATCTAAGTAATATTGGCTCGTAACTTGAATATATCGCAATATTCCATTCGGAAAATATTGAAAAATGAGCTCGGGTAAAGCCATTGAAATTCCAGAAAGTGCAAGAACTTACACCGCGACAGAAAGAAAATAGACTCAAAAGAGTGGTCGAATGTGGTGAACTGCAGAATTTGTTTTTATCCGATGAGAAAACATTCGGTGTCCAGCAGTTTGTAAACAAACAAAATGATCGTGTTTACTTGCCAAAGAGGTCAGCTGGAAATGTGCACCTTCGGTTGGCCACCAGAACTCAAGCGCCGGCCATAGTGATGGTGTGAGCCGCCATAACAGCCGAAGGTCGCTCTCCGCTCGTATTAATCGACCGTGGCATTATAATAAATGCCGAATATTATCGCGAAAATATTCTGGAGGGTGTATTAAAGCATTCGGCACGCAAACATTTTGGCCGCATACCTTGGACATTCCAACAGGACTCAGCACTCTCGCACTCAGCACGCGCCACCCAAGAATGGTTACAAAATCAGGTTCCTCGCTTCATTTCCAGCGCACAATGGCCACCAAAATCTCCGGATACCAATCCGTTGGACTATTGTGTCTGGAGTATTTTGGAAAGCAAGGTTGGCACTAAAAATACCAACGAGTCGATCACCTCAAGCAAGCGCTTCGCCGGGAATGGGCTAAAATACCGCAGAGCATCATTCGAGCAGCGTGTGACGGTTTCATTGGCCGTTTGAAGGCCATAATTCGTGCCAAAGATAACCAAATCGAACAAATCATAACTTATTCTAAAATTTGATGCTATTTGCGCATTTTTTGCTCTCATCCAATAAAATTTGACTTTGTTCCATTTTTATACCCTCCACCTTGGAAAGGAGGGTATATTAACTTTGTCATATATTCGTGTTAGACCCCATAAAGTATATATATTCATAATCAGCATAAAATTCTAAGTCGATTTAACGATGTCCATCTGTCTGTCTGTCCGTCTGTCTGTTGAAATCACGATACAGCCCACATTATTTGACGTAGAGCGCCAAAATTTAGCAGAGCTATTTGCATTGTGTCTAGGATGGTTGGTATTGAAAATGAGATATATCGGTCCACGTTCTGGTATAGGCCCCATATAACGGCACCTCCCGATATTCGGCATTTTGATGATTTATGCCACATTTTTTCACGGACTTGTCTGGAAATTGGTATTTGTAGGTTATAACGGGTCCCTGAGCGTGTGGCAAAACATTGCATGTATAGGTCCACGTTGTGGTGTAGCCCTCACATAAAGGTACCTCCCTATATTCGGTATTTTAGTTTTTTTTTTGCCACATTTTTTTACCGATTTGTGTAAAAATTGGTATTTGAGGGTCATAATGGTTTCCAGCTTCGGTGGAGAAACATTGCATGTATGGGTCCATGATTTGGTATAGCCCCCATATAACGGTACCTCCCGATATTCGGTAATTTAATGATTTTTGCGACCCTTTTTTACGGATTTGTCTGAAAATTGGTATTTGTTGGCCACAATGGGTTCCAGCTCCGGTGGCGAAACCTTGCATGTATGGGTCCATGATTTGGTATAGCCCCCATATAACGGTATCTCCCAATATTCGGTAATTTGATGATTTTTGCAACCTTTTTTCACGGATTTGTCTGAAAATTGGTATTTGTTGGTCATAATTGGTCCTAGTTTGTGTAGCGAAACATTGCATGTATGGTTCCATGATTTGGTATAGCCCCCATATAACGGTACATCCCGATATTCGGTATTTAGATGGTTTTTGCCACATTTTTTCACTGATTTGTCTAAAAATTGGTATTTGTGGGTCATAATGGGTCCTAGTTTGTGTAGCGAAACATTGTAATTATAGGTCCACGTTTTGGTGTAGCCCCCATATAACGGTACCTCCCGATATTCGGCATTTTAATGGTTTTTTTGCCACATTTCTTCTAATGTTTCTTTTACCCTAAGGTGGAGGGTATTAAAAGTTTGGCCCGGCCGAACTTAATGTTTTTTACTTGTTTTTATCTCACCCTGTTTTACCCAATGACCATCCAATAAGCCTTCTGCGCAGCCCTATGCCCTAACCCCATGCCTCTGATCATCTCCAAAAGCAAAAGGCTTCTATTCTAACCATAACCATAACTCAATACATTCGTTTTCGGAAGATAATAATTCTGACTAACTCATGCTCTTCTATTTCCATATCTGCTGGCCGAAACCAATCAAATATTTTTGTGACATTTTGGTTAATCTTTTTTATGTTTTTTTTTTTTTTTTTTTTTTTTTTTTTTTTTTTAAATAATAAAAATATGTGTTATAAAAATCGAAAGTAAATAGAACAGGTTGCTCATCCATTTTCGCAGATTGTTGTCAAGGGGCAGTTGTTGTTGCCACTGCACACATACTTGGATGTGGATTTGGGCTTTAGTGAAAGGAAAATAGTTTAGTGTTGACAATTAGCAATTTAAAGGAATTATTGTTCTCTAAAACAAAAGAACTGATAATATCGGCGGATATTAACTGATTTATGCAGATTGTGACGAAGCAATAAGAATTCATCACTCACCTCAGAAAATGAAAAAACTAAAATATTTGCTATAAAATAGTGCAGATGTCAACAGAGTAGCATCATAAGCATTTGTACTCTTCAATTTGGAGCAAATAACTGTACCAATAATGGTGAGTTAGAATTGCGGAACTTAGTAATTGAGTTGAGTTTTGAATTTTAAAATAAAAATAAATGACATTATTTATTTCAGAAATTATTTATTGTTCTCGCCTTGGTGGCTGCTGCCTCTGCCCAACTCAGCAGTGAATACTTGCCACCTGTAGCTGCCAGCACCACCTATGAAGTTGCTGCCAATGCCCCAGTTGCTGCTGCCGCCGCTCCAGTTACATCTTACTTGGCCCCAGCTGCCTCTTTTGATACCGTTGAGATTGCTGCTCCAGCTCATAGTTATTCCAATGCTGAGGGTTATCGTTATAAGACCCAAAAACGTCGTATTGTCAAAACTGCTCGTCGCCATCGTCGTGACGTGTCTACCGAATACTTGCCACCTGTAGCTGCCAGTACCACCTATGAAGTTGCAGCCGCCGCTCCAGTCACATCCTATTTGGCCCCAGCTGCCTCATTTGATACCGTTGAAGTTGCTGCTCCAGCCCATAGCTTCTCCGATGCTGAGGGATACCGTTATAAGACCCAAAAGCGTCGTGTTGTCAAAACTGCCCGTCGTCATCGTCGTGATGTAGCCACTGAATACTTGCCACCTGTTGCTGCCAGCACCACCTACGAAGTTGCTGCTGCTGCTCCAGTTGTTGCTGCCGCCTCTCCAGATACTTCCTACCTGTCTCCAGCTGCCTCCTTCGATACCGTTGAAGTTGCTGCTCCAGCCCATAGCTTCTCCGATGCCGAAGGCTATCGTTACAAGACTCAAAAGCGTCGTGTCGTCAAAACTGCTCGTCGCCATCGTCGTGACGTGTCTACCGAATACTTGCCACCTGTAGCTGCCAGTACCACCTATGAAGTTGCAGCCGCTCCAGTTGCTGCTGCTGCCGCTCCAGTAACATCCTACCTGGCCCCAGCTGCCTCTTTCGATACCGTCGAAGTTGCTGCTCCAGCCCACAGCTTCTCCGATGCCGAAGGCTATCGTTATAAGACCCAAAAACGACGTGTTGTCAAAACTGCCCGTCGTCACCGTCGTGATGTTTCCACTGAATATTTGCCACCAGTAGCTGCCAGCACCACCTATGAAGTTGCAGCTGCTGCTCCAGCTACTTCATACCTGGCTCCAGCTGCCTCTTTTGATACCGTTGAAGTTGCTGCTCCAGCACACAGTTTCTCCGATGCCGAGGGATACCGTTATAAGACCCATCGCAGCCGTGTTCTCCGTCGTCATCGTATTTAAGCTTAGAAAATATTGCGAAGTTATGAATAGTTTCTTAGAGCTTTGTTATGAATTCTCTTTGAAAAGAGAATAAAATGAAATAAAAAATATATTTATAAAAATATATCTAAAAAAGAATTGTTTGAATAATCAATTGTTCCAAATGCCGAGTTACGGCCAATCTGGTTGAACTGGCATTTGAATTTCAAAATCTGCGAATTAAAACTTTTAGTATATACCCCAAAATAAATTACACATCCATTGTTACGGAGGAAGTTTTAAAATTCAGGTCAAGGGCCAAACCTCAAAAAATCTGGAAATCGAAATTATCCTCACAAGAAGCCTATTCCAAAAGTGGATCGATATGACCCATTCTCTGTAACAATGATTCTGGACGTAATTCAAGGATCTCTATCAAATTTCAACGTTCTCCACCAAAGTATGGAGGGTAATACCTCTAAGTATACATTTTAGATCCCGCAAAGTATATATATTCTTGATCAGCATAAAATTCTATGGCAATGACCGTCCGTCTGTGGAAATCAGTCAAGCGAACGAAATGAAGTAGGTTATTTGATGATATTATAGACATTATTCATCTTAATTGTTTCAAATTTCGTATTTGCACTCCTTAACGGGTGCTACAGCCTGTGACGGAATATTGTCTATGCTGGTTCAGGTGTTCGGCCCGGCGGAACTCGCTGCGTTTTATACCCTCAGCCATACGGCTAGAGAGGGTATATATCATTTGATATGGTCAAAACGTGCCCAGTCGAAATAACGGTTTTAGACCCTGGGTCTCTTTGGACCAAATCCGTTTCAGGACATTTGGAGTCGATCTAGCGATGTCCGTCCGCCGTCCGTCCTTCTGTCTGTCTGGCTGGTGCGCACGATAACTGTCGAAGAGAGTTTCCGACTTGGTCCAAACTTGATACATCGTATTATTTTTGACAAACTTAGATCGAGTTCGGAGATGGGCAATATCGATCTACTCCTTCTGGTAACTCGATCAAAAGGTCGAATTTAAAAAAAAAAATCTGCATAGAAAGAGAAACAATAATCCGATTTTGCTTCAACTTTGCAAATCCTAATATTTGCGTCAAAGCTAGGTCAGGTGCGAAAATGGACAATTTCGGGCCACTCTATCAAATACCTCCCCTACAAAGGGTTAAAATTTTGAATAATAAAAACTCTTATAAAATGTGATGTAAGAGTCCGATTGTCTTCAAATTTCACACATCCTAATATTTGTATTGACCCAAGTTCAATAAGGTCGGTCCACTACTTCTGGTACCTTCCCCACAAAATGTCCAAATTTTGTACATCCATTAAGATCTGTTATGAACATGGTAGAAATCGGACCATTCCTTCTGTTACCTCCCCCACAAAGGGTCCAAGTTTTGTATAACCAAAACGATTATAAAATCCGTAATAAGCATCCGGTTTTCTTCATATTTCACACATTTCGTTATTTCTACTTACACAAGATCTGTAAAGATGGGATGTATCGGTTCACTCCTTCTGGTAACTCCACCACCCACCAAGACTCATAATTTTGAATATCCATGAAGTTCATAAAATGCGAATTTAACATCCGATTTCATTCAGACTTGGTACATCGCAATATTTCCAATATTTCTGATAGCCCCCCCACATAGGGTTCACGATTTTGGAAAAAAAAAAACAAAACACTCAGAGAAAGCGAGGTTCGATACGTAATGGACAATATTGGGCCAAAATATATTTAAATAATCGATCATTAGCTGAAGGTATAGATCTGTCGCCAAAACCGACTTATATTTTTATACCCACCACTATACTATGGAGGGTATATTAACTTGGTCATTCCGTTTGTAACTCCTCGAAATACTCATGTCAGACCCAACAAAGTATATATATTCTAGATCAGCGTAAAATTCTAAGTCGATTTAGCCGTGTCCGTCTGTCTGTCTGTCGGTCCGTCTGTCTATCTGTTGTAATCACGCTATCTTTCAAACGAATTGAGATAGAATTTTGAACACGTGTTATTTTTCCAGTGGGCTGGTTAAGTTCGTAAATGTAGGTCCACGTTTTCATATAGCCCCCATATGACGGTACCTCCCGATATTCGGTATTTTGATGATTTTAGCGACATTATTCACCGGAATTGTTTCAAATTTGGTATTTGAGATTCGTAATGGATACTACAGCCTATGACAGAAAATTGTCTGTGCAGGTCCACGTCTTCGTATAGCCCCCATATAACGGTACATCCCAAAATTCAGTATTTTGATGATTTTAGCGACATTATTTACCGGAATTGTTTCAAATTTGGTATATGAGATTCGTAATGGATACTACAGCTTATGACAGAAAATTATCTGTGCAGGCCTACATCTTCGTATAGCCCCCATATAACGGTACATCCCAAAATTCGGTATTTTGATGATTTTAGCGTCATTGTTCACCGGAATTGTTTCAAATTACGTATTTAGAGTTCGTAATGGGAACTACACTATGTGACAGAAAATTGTCTATGCAGGTCCAGGTCTTCGTATAGGCTCCATATATGAGTACCTCCCAATATTGTGTATTTTGACGACTTTAGGTATAATACCCACCGAAATTTTTTGAGATGTCGTATTTGACGTTCGTAATGGATGCTATAACCTGTGAAAGAAAATCGTCTATGGTCCAGGTCTTCGCACAGCTCCGATATAACGGTACCTTTCTATATACCATATTTTGATGACTTTAGCTACATTATTTACCATTTATTTCAAGTTTCGAATTTGAATATGGTAATGGCTTATGACAAACAATGCCTATGTAGGTGCACGTCGTATAGACCCCAATATAACAGCTATATTCGGTATTTAAAAAAAAATGGTCGAGGGTATTCAAAGTTCAGCTCGGCCGAATTTACTGCTTTTTAACTTGTTTAGCTCTACTTTCATAATCTGCTGGATTTTCTCCATAATTATTGAAAAAAATGAATTTTGTCGCACAGTGTTATATTTGATTTAATTTTTTTGTATAATAATGTTATGTTATTCTTCATAGAAGATAATTTAATATTATTTATCACCTCGAATTTTATTACGTATCACAATTTACATTTTTCCACATTTTTAGCAATTATATATGTGTATAACACTTTTAGATCTACCGCTATTCCCTAAACAACAAATTCGCTAGATCGAAAGATTGATAGATAATTTATTTTTGTGTAGGAAATTGGGGATTCGTAAAATGGGTTAAGGGTCTTGGTGCGTTGCCTACAAATGCAGGTTGAACAACATTATTATGTTCTGCACTCGGTACTCCAAGATAAGTAATTAACTGTGGTAGTTGGGAATGCTGTTGATAAATGGGAGAGGGTGGAAATAATGTGGTTGCCGGTGGCTGTACATATTGAATTGGTACTCCTGGGTATTCAAATCTTGCAGGATGATGAACTATAGGAACTTGTTGTAAAGGGTTATAGGGTATTTGTTGACCGGGATTTCCGTTAATATAGTATTGTGATGACGGCATTTGTTGAGGGGCAATAGCTGCAGAATAATAATCTGGATTTTTAGGAACTTGTATATTTTGTGGCACAGCATGCGATATGAATTGAATAGGTGATGGTAGAGGTGCAACAAAATTTGTTGGAGGATATGGGTGTGCTATAACTGCAGCAGGGCGATGGACTGTTGCATAATTTGTAACTGTGGGGGCACCGATAGGAATACCAACTGCATTAATGGGTACAACATTCGAGTAGGGCATTGATGGTGCATATTGTGTTGTGACCTGTGGAAGACCATTCAGACCAGTATTTCCAGTTGGAGAAATCAAAGGATGATGGTAGATAAGATGACTACTTGGAATGCCATATCTTATGGTTACTATGTGGCCAGCTGGAGGTTGTTGGTTGTTGGGACTAACAGCTGGCACGTACTTTAAAACAAATGGGTTGTCATAGTTCGCAGTTGTGGGAGATTGCGTAGGCGATGGGTATTTTGGTACATCATATGGTGCATAGGTTAAACCAACATCCAGATATTTTACAAAATTGTCCAGCGAACTATTTCCTATTGGCGTCGATGTGACATCATTGGGTGTATTTTCCACAACTGCACACAATGCCAGGAAAGTGGTCACAATTCTCTGTAACAACCAAAATAGAAATAATAACTGATTTAAAAAATAAAATTTCCCTTTTTTTAAATTATTTAATAAATTTTACAAACCATACTAGAGATTAAACGCCCGTCGGTTGAGCATGCACTCAAATACTTAAAATTATGCTTTGCAATAAAATTTGTCTCACTCAAGAGAAACGACTTATATACCGATTGCCGCCGTTTGTCATCAACTATTTTCAAAAACTATCAAGAATAGAAAAACTATATTTTATAGGAATCTGGTTTCGCGAGAATCCCGCTAGAAGCGTAATTCCTGTTTTTCATTTATTTGACTTTTACCCACAAATTATGCAAATATAAGCTTATTTGAAAATAAGTTTTGAAACGCGTCATTTTCAAAGTGACTTGTTATGATGCAATCATGTTTGCTGACATATTTTTTTGGGATTTTTTTTTTGTTATTAACAAAATATGGGTGTGGAATTAGGGTATATATTGGTGATTGGTTATACCCTACATTCCGCTTTTAATTTGTTGAAATGATGTATAAGTAAGTAAATTTTATATCAATGTAAAATTCTTAGGCGATAATGGGATATATCTATATCTATAAAAGAGGAAAATGTTTGTATGTTTGTTTGTTTGTTTGTAATTTATGGACTCGAAAACCAGTGAATAGATTTTCCTGAAAATTTCCATATATACTGCAACATCGCCTGAAAGTAACATAGGCTATATACATTTTTGAATTCCCACTTGGAACTGGAGATATAGCATCAGAATCGGAGGAACCTCCCAAAAATTTAGATTTTATATGCACATATCTATTGATTGGTTGAAGATACAGTCTCCAAGTTTGGAATACGTAACGGAATTTGGAACAAAAATAAGTTTGAAAAATTATATTGT